TTTCAGAGTTCATTTTTAGTAGCTTAGTAATGATAGAAAAAGAAAAGTTTCTTCTGCTAGATGATCTTTCTTTGATGTACAGGAGCACATGACTTCTCGTTTGCTGAATCTTGGATTGCAGTGTAGTGTAACTTTTCAGTTTGCTGAATCTTAAATAGTTGCTGTGATCAATTCAGATTTTTCCTTTAAATAGTTGTTGTGATCAATTCAGATTATTTTTCCTTTAAATAGTTGCTGTGATCAACTAGTATGCATCTCAAATGTATTGTATTCAGATTTTACAAATTTGAGTATATACTTACATGTAGTTCGGTGCTGATCGCTCTTCGTTTCTTTATGTCGTTGAGCAGGGAAGTGGATTCTCACCCACCTGGTGGTTACCTTAGTTACTTTCAGAACACGGCAGGCCCCACACAACCTATTCACAATGGGAGTTCACCGCAACCAGTCAATGCTGGCGATGACACAAATGGTGGTGATTGTGGAAGGACTGAAAAACGCTTGCTATGGACAAAACAAGAAGATCTTCGATTGGTATGTCTCTTTTTGCATGCATGCTTGCTCCATGTGTTTCATTACTAGCAAATTCAATTAACCCCTTCTGATAATATTGTAGGTTAGTGCTTGGTTGAATAATTCCAATGACCCAATCCAATCAAACTACAAGAAGAATGAACAATATTGGAAAGATGTTACTGCTGTCTACAACAGTACCACCCCAAAAAACAGGGAACGACTAGTCAAGCAAGTGAAAGATCGCTTTGGGAGAATTAAGAAAAGGGTTGCATGGTTTTGTGCGAGTTATAAGGAGGCTAGTGCTTTGTATGCTAGTGGTGAATCTGATGCAGATTTAAAGAAGAGGGCAATGCAAACTTATGAGGAAGATCACAAAAAGACGGTCCGTTTATGTTTGAGCATTGCTGGGAGATTCTTAAAAAGGAACCAAAATGGGACGCATATTTGGAACGCCTAGAAGATCTGGAGCCGGACAAGAGGAAGTTTAGTGTTGATGATGAAGTAGGGAAGCATTCCACTATAGATGATGATGATGATGAAGATGAACGTCCACCGGGTGGCAAGCAAGCTAAGGAGAAGCAGAAACGAAAAAGAAAGGATGAAGTTTGTATAATAGATCTTGAAGATGGGCTTCAAAAGTTTGTAGATGCCCAGAATGCAGCAAATGAAGGCCGCAAAGAGATGTTAGAGACCCAGAGGCGTGTTTCTGCTGAGAATCTTGAAGCACGGAGGCTTGCTCACCTTGCGGCAAAAGATCACAAAGAGTCGGTCATGCTAGAAACATATCGCTCATTGGTGATGCAAGACACAATCGGGATGCCTGAAGATGTGAGATCGGAGCATGTGTTGGCATTGAAGTGTTTAAGGGAGAAGCTATTTGGCAAAATGGTCTAAGGTATTTCCTACTGTCCGTTGTCTTAATTAAAATTGATCATGTACTTAAATTGGTCATGTTCCTCTTCCTATTGTTACAGTATTTGTTTTTACTGAACCTGTGTAGCTATATAGGATTTATAGAAGTGATTTTCTCCAACATTACTACTCAGTGTTACTTCTTGATGTCACATGCTGTAAGTTTGCATTGGCTAAATTTTTAAGCTTGACCCGGTTCCTTTTCCATACAGTGGTTGAAGGTTATTGATGCAAATGAGTGGTTGCTCCTTTCCAGTGAAGTACCCTCCATGCTTTGTGACTTTTGTCATCGTCCAGATCAAGACTATGATTGTTGCTTGTGGTCGTGAACAGCTTGTTTGCCGGAGATGTTATCTATTATGTTTGCTGAATGCTTTCTTAAAGACTTATGTAATCTTAAGTAATTACTCATGATGCTATGGAGCAGTATGATGCTGTGTGACATGTTTGGAGTACTATGATGCTGTATGACATATGTTTGTTGCCTAAATGCCAGTGAGTCTTCCTATTTCCTGGTTGCATGGATGGCATGTATATGTATGCTCTTTGAAATGGCCATAAAGATGTTGTTTACTGTAGATCACAGCAAATCATATGCACCTGTACACAATAAATACTTCAAATTAAATGGAGCCATGCTAATAACCAGCCAAAACGCCAGATTACTATATGAGAGAAGGCTTTATGATGACGTGGCATTGCTATATAGCCAGCAGCCGGCTGTGCTATTATCTTTGCTCGATCACAATTCACAAGCACACCGGCGGACGCTTCGAGTCGAAGGCTTGCAACCTCCTGCTCCTCCTCGCCCTCAAAGCCCCCCTTCCTCGCCACCGCCGCTTGCTTGCTCCGGCTGCTCGACCTCCTGAAGCGCGTGAGCGGGGCTCCAGCGCCATGCCGCGCTGCTCACCCTCGAGACCCCTTTCATCGCGGCTGCCGCTCGCCTGCTCCGCTGCTCGTGCGTGAGGGGAAAAGGCCAAGGCGCGTGAGCGGGCCCCCGGCGCGATGATGCCGGGCGCGCGCGACGACGTGGGGGAGATGGATTTGGGCGACATCGTGCTCTCCTGGTCAATCCAGGACATCATCAACGACGACCTCTACCGAGGGCAGGTGCTCAATCTGTCCCCCAACCTGAGCATCCTTTTTCCGTTGTTTTTTCTGTCTTCTTTATGCATGCGAGCTGCGTCCAGCGGCCATGTGTAGGTTTCCATGATGATCGATTGATGGATCGCTTGTAGTGAATCGTTGTTTCACTTCTTGTTGGGCGGTCCGAGTTAGGTCATCTGGACCGCTGGGTCCTGGGTGTGGCCAAGATTTTGCTAGGGTTTGGAATGGGAAGTATGTGTGCTTGTGATTCATCCGAGCCAGCTAGTGTACTGTACCATATATGATTGGAATACTAATGATGGAAAAGGTTTTCACTTTCAGTTTCAGAAAAATTTCAGCACCAACTGAAATCACCGAAATTTAGTGATTTCGGTTTGTGTTTCGGCCAAATGGCTGAAATGTTCACTTGAAGTCAGTTAAATATTTGAATTTTTTTAAATTATTTATGAAAATAATTTGAATTCATGTGTAGTACTGAAATTGCTGAATTTTTTTGGCCGAAAGTGAATATTTCACTGACTGCTGAACTCAATGAAATTCAGTGAATTTCATCGAAATCTCACTGAAAGTTAAAACCACAGATAGATATGCTGACACAAATGATACACCAAATTTTCTTTCCAATGATATAGCGGCATTTCGGAATACTGTAGATACCTCACTATATATGAGATACCAAGTTCTACAAGACTGTCAGGGGATGTTAGCTCTGTAATTAATATTATGATGTCATTTAGTTGTATTAATTTATTCTGAAGTTGCTAGAAACATGTCATGATTGCCAAGAGCCTCAGCACTGTATTTGCTTGCTTGGTCTCGTAGAAGATGAAATTTGACCACATAGTTGATCTGGTAGCATACCCGCATACCAGTGGCGAAGCCATGCATGAGCTGTGCAGTCAAATGACTACACAGCTTTTTGGTAAGAACATCATACAATGAGTATATATCATGTAGAAAAAATCATAAATACATATATATATGACTACACAAGTTTGAATTGACTACACATGAATGAATTCCTGGCACCGCCACTGCCGCATACCATTCGTGTGTTCATGCTGCCACATTCTAGATTTTTGCTATCTTTAATCACATTGCCATTTACTATTTTTATGTAGGTTGAGGCTATTCCTTGCAGCTTCACGTCACTTGATCACTATCTCAAATCGTATCGCGCACCTTTGATTGAAGAGACAAGGTCACATCTGTGCTCATGCCTTGAACTCATCATGGAAGGACCCTCTTCGAATATACTCTCTATGGAGGTAACGGAGAAACCGGAAGTGTACTATATATATGTGGACTTTTGGGATTATGGGGCTGCTTATTCTACGGAGGCTCATACCGTAAGGAATGGTGACGTATTTATTTTGTCTAGCATGAAACCTGAAGGTGCGGGGGACTTCAACCGCTATGGCGTGACATATTACTTGGCAATGGTTACTGATGTTTGTATGGATGATGATGATGATGAGTGCCAGAAGCGTTTCCAAATTAAGGTCGCAAAAGATATTGGTTTGGAAGAAGACTTACAGAAACTCACGTATGCAATATTTCTCGGTAATATCATAACAAATTTGTGGATATGGAAAGCACTGAGCTTTGACAAGCACATGAATAACAATTTCACAGTGATCGAGTCTCTCTTAGCCCCCACAAATTCGGTAATAGGACATGCACAGTTGCCTTCTAGTTTTACTTACTATATTTTTACCATGATATCTAACTTTTGTGAGTTCTTCTTTGTTGGCTCTTTTCTAGGGTGGTTATGTCTGTCATATCTGTGCTAAACATGATGGGGAACATTTGGCTTGTTTCACAGAGCAACTGTTACCGATGAATCTTAATAGATCGCAAATGGATGCTATTGAATCTGTCATCTCAGCTGTAAGATGTAGGCATATGAACCTCATGAAGCTTATACAGGGTCCACCGGGTACTGGAAAGACCCACACTGTTAGTGCTTTACTGCAGGCTTTGGCTTCTATGAAATGCAGAACTCTAACATGTGCTCCCGCAAATGTTGCTGTAATTGGGGTTTGCACATGTTTCCTTCAAAACTTGAAGGAATTCAACACAAACGTTGACGAAAATCATTTACCCTTTTTCCTTGGAGATGCCTTGCTATTTGGGAACAAGTATAAAATGGACATAACTGGAGATCTTCAGGAAGTTTTCTTGGATTTTCGTGTGAGTGAACTTGTTGAGTGCTTTTCATCGTCGTCTGGATGGAGCTGCAAACTAGCTTCAATGATATCTTCTTTTGAAGACTGTGGTTCTCAGTATGATAGGCTTCTTCGGGATGATGGAAGTAGTGATCCTGTGTGCAATCTGGACTTCCTAAAGGAGCAATTCGTGTGACAGCAATAGCTCTTAGAAGTTGTATAAATAAATTGTTGATTCGCCTCCCTGGAAGGTGCTTTTCCCGTGATAATATCAGCAATATATCCACATTGTTCAATATGCTAGAAAAATTTGACGCCCTTCTGTGTGGTGTTGATTTAACCGGCAAGAGCTTAAAAAGTTGTCTCTCAAGCGACAACTCAGTTTGTGTGCAGCCTATATCTTTTACTGAGAAGGAACTGGATGGAATAAGGCCCACATGCCTTAAATTGCTGAAGGATCTTCAACACTCGCTTAATTTACCTATTGGAGTAGGCAAAAACTGGGTCCAGCGCTACTGTATGCGTAATGCTGTGCTTCTTTTCTGTACTACCTCTAGTTCTTACCGATTGCATCATATGGAGATTGAACCCCTTGATGTGTTAATTGTCGATGAGGCTGCACAAGTGCGAGAATGTGAATTGGTGATCCCACTACGTCTGCATCAGTTGAAACATGTTGTTTTGCTAGGAGATGACTGCCAGCTGAATGCAAAATGGTTAAAAGCCAGGTAAGGTTTTGTCTTACCCTTTCTGTGTCATATAATTTTCTTTCTTAGTCACTGGTGCCTGTAATCGCAACATAAGCTTCCGTGCTAAAATGCTTATACTATTTTTTCATTTGAATTTGTGAAGGCTACGTCTTAACTTTAACTCTGTTTCTGTTGATATGTTTTTATACTATTAATTCTGTATTTCATTGTTTACCTCTAGTTATGCAAGGAAGCTGGATTCGGAACAAGTCTTTTTCAGAGATTGGTTATGCTGAATTTCGAAAAGCATTTGCTGAATATACAGTACCGAATGGATACTTGTATCAGCTCATTTCCAATTGCTCAGTTTTATGAGAGGAAGATTTTAGATGGTCCAAATGTCTTGTCTCCTTCCTATAATAAGGATTACACAAGCCTCCCTTTTGGCAGCTACACTTTTATAAGTGTCACTGATGGAAGGGAAGACAAAGATGGCACTGAAAACAGTTGGAGAAACATGGCTGAAGTTGCTGTTGTTTTGTATCTTATCGAAAACATCTTCAAATGTATGTCTATGCTGAACCTATCCTTCCTTTAACTGTATCATCCTGCCTTGAGCACTCTGCTACTTCATAATCTGATATTCTGTATGAAATTAAGTGGTTGATAGACATGGACTTAGATAGTGGAAGTAGATAGTGTCAGGTCAATTGTTGGCTTATATACAGAACCAATTTAAGCTTGATTTAGAAATTTCCTCACTAGTTTAGCGAAAAGATTGATTCCTAAAGATCAGTAACATACCAGCTTATTCTTTTGTGTAGCCTGGAAAGGGTCAGGCCAAGGGCTCAGTGTCGGTGTGGTCTCTCCATATAGCTGTCAAGTTGGTGTAATTAAAGATAGACTCGGTGAAAAATACGATACATGTGATGGATTTCATGTGAGGGTCAAGTCCATTGATGGTTTCCAAGGCGAAGAGGACGATATAATCATACTATCAACTGTCAGGTCCAATGAGAGAGGAGGTCTTGGATTTCTTGCTGATAACCAAAGAACAAATGTTGCTCTTACTAGAGCAAGGTGCACACCAATTCTTTAGTTTGTTATTGTTTATTGTATGTATTACTTGTATATATAAATCAGGTGGTTGCTTTATTTGATGTAGGCACTGCCTTTGGATTGTTGGGAATGCTTCTACATTATATAAAAGTGGGACTGTCTGGAAAAACCTTGTTCATGATGCGAGAAGCCGTAACTGCATTATTAATGCCAATAATGACGCAACCATGTGCAAATTGATATTGCACGTAAAGCAAGAACTTGATGAACTTGACGATCTTCTCAATGCTGATTCAGCAATTTTCAGCAATACTAGATGGAAGGTAAGCACAAAAGTGATCCTTAGTGAGTTTAACTTAAACCATGTTTTCACAAGTTCGTTTTATTGGTTCTGTTATTTATGTGCACTGCACTTAATTTCCTGAAATTCAAATTACATATATGATGTTTATATATCTGGTGAGTTGACGTTTATTGTCAGGGACTTTAGTGTTGATTTTTTTAGGGAGTGACTTCAGTGTTGAATTGATACGTTGTGGAGTTTGTACTTTTCGTGTGTGGTCATGAACTACCTACATATGTCTCATACTTTCCGGGATCATGTATGTGGTTTATTTTAATTTGCTAGGATGTTTATTCTGTAATTGGGTATTGAGAGGTTTGTGCTCAAGATTTTGCAGCATGCTTTGTCAATTATGTGGTTCCTTTACAGTTACACCATAACATGCTATGTCACACTATTATGATTTTGTATACCTGAATAAAGCGTACTTGTAGTTCTTCAACTGTTGCCAGATTCTACTTCCAGTCCCTTCAACTATGTTTGCTGTAGTTTTTGTCCCTAGATAAGTGGTTTTAGCCAAGTAATATGTCACATCAACAGCTTTTGCCATGGCATGTTGACCTGGCTGGAGTGAGTGACAGACCTGACCGTGCCGCCCAAGCACCAGATAGTTTGGCCCTGCGTCAGCACAAAACCAGATTGTGTTGTGCCACGTAAGCACAAAACCAGATTCTGTGGGTGTCGTTGTCAGTTGAACATTGTTTCTGTTACGGAAGTTCCTTATTTTATTTTGTACCCTTGTCATGAGCTAAGGGATAGGGTAATCATGGGTGATGTGTGGTCAAGGCATTGTAAAAATCGAAGGGAGCGCGGCCTTGATGACGTTGTAATCGTGAGTCATGTGTGGTCGAGGCAGTTTAAGGTTGTAAAATGCCTAGGCCATGGTGGGGATTAAATTCCTTTTCTTGGTCATTTCTTGTTTAAGCTGTATCAACATAAAGCTGAGATGAAATGCCTTTTCCATATATAAAAAAGAGAGCCAAATATCATGTGCCAAGTTCCATTATATGGGGGTGGAGCTAATAAAATCAGGGCCTCTTTGATTCAAAGGATTTTCATAGGAATTTTGGAGGATTGTATTCATATTGAATTTTTTGCTATGTGTGTGTTTTTTATTTATAGGATACTAGGATTACTATATGTAGGCATTTTCCCTAGGGTTTCTTTTGCACTACATTTCATTGGAAGGTTTCCATCCCTATGGTGCATCAAACATTCTTTGAATCATTTTCTTGTGATTCTATCTTATTGGAATCAACAAGGCATGACACTCAAATTCTTCCTGTTCCTGTGTTCTTAAATTTCTATGAATCAAAGATGCCTTAATTCCAATCTTATCTTAACAAAGAGTAACTACCTTGTGTCTTTGGAAACAAGTAAACTAACTCGAGAAGAAAGTGAATTTGTGTAACTTGGCATACCTGCAAGTAATTCATATACAATGGCTTGCTGCTATTGTATATGTCCCCTCCTCCCATGTATTGCTGAAGATGTCCCCTCCTCCCATGGCTTGCTGCTATGTTAGTAATGATGGCCCCACATGACAATGCTAGGCTTAAATTCATATACAGTACATACCATCTGGCGAATTACCTACTTATTAAAAAAATCTTTTGATTTTTCTTGAATGCATGTCTACTCAAGTTCTGTGTTATGTATTTCCCCAATTTGACAGGTTGTTCTTAGCGACGGATTTAGAAAATCTTTCATCGGACTAAAATCACCGCAGCTCAAGAGGGAAGTACTGCAGAAACTTGTTAAACTTGGTGGTGGTTGGAGGACAACATTTAAGAACATTGATATATGTGATACTTTCCAGCTTGCAAAAGTATACAAAGTCAGGGATTTTTATCTTATTTGGAATATTGACATGGAGAAAAAAGAAAGAAGGGTTTTCCAGATAATAAGAATTTGGGACCTACAACCCCACAAGCATGTTGCAAGAACTGTTCAACGTCTCGAAAACATGTTTTCCATGTACACAGATGATTACCTGGATCACTGCCGAAGAGTGCAGACAGATGGGTATGTTTTGTTTATTCTTTCTTGGTTTTACCCAAGTAGTAGTGCAAGATCTTTTTATTTTTGTTCTAACTTTTGGTCCTTCCAAATGAACTGCTAGTAAAAATATTCATGCTTGCAGATGATCAAAATGTTGATATTCTTCTTATTTCTCCCATCCATTTTTTTTTGTGGATAACAGGAAACTGGAAGTTCCTGTGATTTGGGATGTTGAGCATAATATTATTCGCTATAAGGACTGCACAGTTGATGCCCAGGAAGATCATGATCGCATGGATACATCATGTCTTCTGGAGAATTTGAAAGTTAGTGAAAGCTTCTTGCTGATGAAATTCTACTCTTTATCATCTGGAGTGGCAAAACATTTGCTGACAGCTACTGATGGGTCTGAAATTGATATTCCCTTCGAACTGACTGACGAAGAGGATGTGATAATCCGATTCCCTCAGACTAGTTTCATACTTGGGAGGTCAGGAACTGGGAAAACCACCGTCTTGACAATGAAACTACTTCAAATAGAGCAAATGTCATTTACTGCATCCCGGGGGCTTAACTTGGACGAAGTTGGTTTACTTGGGGCTTGTGAAAAAAATATTATCACACTGAATGACATAAAGGAAGAAAGTTTTGTAAAACAGGTCTTCATCACTGTAAGCCCAAAGTTATGTTCGGCTGTAAAGAATCAAATTTGCAGACTTAAAAGGTAAATCCGTTGGATCTGGAGCTCCATGTGACTGTTTTTACATGCGTTTCTAGTTCGGAAAATTATTTTCATTTATCCATTTGAAAGTGGAGCAAAGAAATGTGCTCTTTTTTGTACCAGTAGAAATGTGCTCTTTCACCACACTCTTGAAATGCTCCTTTGTCTTGTTGTAAAAAAATGCCCCTTTCCCATGTTCTTTCAAACGGTTTAATGTATTTTATCTACTTGCAATTCATCTTTTTGGAACTATACACTGCAAGCTGGTTCTTTGTCACTGTTCATCTCATATTAATTTCAAGTTACATTACCCTTTACAGATTTGTCTCTGGTGATGCCCCTGACCAGCCTAGCACCGATATGCATGACATCATTGATGATATGGAACAATCTACAGAAATTCCAGACAATTTTTGTGATCTACCTTGTGAGCACTATCCCCTTGCTATAACATATAGCAAGTTCTTGATGATGCTTGATGGAACACGCCAGACATCATTTTTTGATATTTTCTATGGTGAACTGAGGTCTAGCACTGAGAGGGGCTATTCAAAATCCCATGCATTGCAAACTTTGATTGAACTGAAGGAAGTTACTTATGAGAAATTTGCTGCTTCGTACTGGCCTCATTTTAATGCAGACCTGACCAAGAAACTTGATGCGTCCACTGTCTTTACTGAAATAATTTCTCATATAAAGGGCGGATATCAAGCAAGCAGGCCTAGTGCAGGAAAACTTGAAAGATCAGATTATGTGATGCTCTCAGATAAAAGATTTTCATCCTTGAACAGTGAGAAGAGAGATAGGATTTATGATATTTTCCTTGATTATGAGAGCATGAAGTGCACTGCCAGAGAATTTGATTTGTCTGACTTTGTGAATAGCCTTCACAAAAGTCTAGTTTCAGAGGGCTACAATGGCGACATGGTGGATTTTGTTTATGTGGATGAGGTGCAGGATCTAACCATGACACAAATAGCACTTCTTAAGTATGTCTGCAGGAATTTCGAGGAGGGCTTCCATTTTGCCGGTGATACTGCGCAGACTATCGCAAGGGGGGTTGATTTCAGATTTGAAGATATTCGCTCACTTTTTTATACCACATTCCTCTCAGAAACTGAAGCATGTAATCAAGGAAATAAACATGGAAAACAATGCCATCTCTCTGATAT